AAGTTATTTTAAATCTTCAATGAACCATCTATCATTTTTCTATACCATGCAGGTTACTGAATAGACATGTGCTACTGAGGAATACTATATTTACTGTTGCAATACCTAGAAGAAAAAGCATTTAACTTAGAAAGCCAAGGGCAAACAGGTTTCAGGCAGTATGTGAAATAATTTCCTCAATGTTATCTGTCTATATTTGTGCTTCTGATGCTGCATATTCAGGTATCTGTTTATATCATAAATCAGTATCTATGTATAAATGGTGGCATGAATTGTACAGAGAGTTGTAGATTGGCTCCTGAGTCTTGAAACCAATCCTAAAGGCAAGAGAATACCAGACTTCTCCCAGAACACTTCAGTGAAAGAATGTGGAAACTTTTAAGGTACAAGTGGATTTGTATGTGTGTTCCTTACATAACAACAAAACAATAGCACAAAACAATTGTTTATTGCATCATGAAATACTAATTACACTGTGTTGGCAAAGCCAGTGAGAAACTGGTTGTCCTCACTTGCATGTCTTCCCTAATGCAGGAAGTTAGTTCTCCTCAAAGGTTTATGCAACTCATACATCTGTCATTACTTTTCCCAAATATAAGTAGAAGTGTATCTCTATGTATATATATATTTAAAGTCAAATAAATTTGAATGGTAGAACGCAAAATGTTCCATTAATTCCACTGTAGGCCATGAGCAAGTGAAAAAGCCTGCCAATAAGACTTTTAACTGCATACAGCCCATTTGGTTAAAGCTAGTCAAGCCACAAATTAGAAATAATAAAGCTAGAATCTCTTTCCTCACACTTTGATCTGTAAGAAATTGCAACACAGATCAGATGTAAACTAGATGAGTCAAAAAACAATGAGGCTGCTGAGTAGGTATCATTCTACATTGGTACGTGTGGCTGAAGGCAGTCACAGCTGCACCTGCTGCTATGTTTCTAAGGTAAAGACAAGTGGTTTGGAATGTGATTTGTAAAAATCTTGTTCTAAAAGAAGCTATTCAAAAGCATTAAACTATAATCACTGGGTCATCCACCCAACTGATCAGAAGATTTATTATTCTTTGTCCAGATCTGTGGGTTGTTGGCATTTTTGTATTTCCTCATCAATATCCAGTTTCTTGAATTTCCAGGTTTTTTGGTGTTTTTTTTTTTCCTCCTCTAAAAGAAAGGTGAGAATATACAAATAGGATAAAGATGGGCTACTTTTCTCCAACTCCTGGAAGCACACAATACAGCAAGCAAGCCATGATTAATGCATAGCATCAGAATTGTGGAGGACTGGGCACAATTTCTAATTCAACTTTCATATATCTACAGAACATAATCATCTAATTCATCAACTAATGCACAATTTAAGGTTTGCACACAGGTAATGAACAAGGAGAAACTGCAAAGTATACACTGCAGAAGACCATAGAGTGTTGGAAGAATGACAGCTGTTGATAGCTGTGCAATATATCAGAAATACATCAGTTATAAAAGGCTGTTTATGTTTTATTCATGCAAAATAACTCAGGCCCTATCATCAGAAAATACATAGCAATTAAAGTACCTGTGACACACAATGCTCAAGCATTAAATGCATCTAAAAATGTTTACCATTGAATATCATTAAAATCAGCAATTCTGAAATACAGGGAATTCTTCATGGGGGGAGGAGGAGGGGAAAGGATGTCTCAAAAACAGAACTCTTTTAAAAACCCAAACAGACCAAATTAAGACAGTGGAGCTTTTGATATTCATGTTTTAAATTCTTAACACTTAGTACAGCCACAGCTCAAAGGAACACTGGGGTGCAGTGACCAGTATGTTGCTGATCAGAAAACAGGCAGGGTCATGAGCTCTATTGTCCTGTGCCTGGAGTAGAGTTGCCTCAGATTACATATGCCTACATGTACATTGAAACTATTGTATAAATCGGTTTGGAATATTCTGGGATTAGATAGATTTGTGAATAAAATAAGACTGTGGCCCTTGCAATAAATCAAGGGCAAAATCAATAAAAATTGTAGCTGTTATTAATTTTTATCAGGATAGCTTGTACCTCTCTTTCTCTGAGTTTCTCAAAAAGAAAATCAGAGTATAGGGAATCATCATTTTCTCTTGGGTGACCTGATGAGCAGGTGATAGAATTCTAAAAAAAAAATTGTTTCTGTGGCTGACTGAGATAGAGGAAGAAAGTAGTCCATATAGGCAGTTGTAACAGATCTGCAAAGCCTACTTTGCCTTATATACCAGTGGTAATTGTCAATCTAAAGCAGTTACAAGCTTTCTTAAAGGCCTTCTTCCCTATCAGCAAGTGGTCAGTGCCCATGCTCTCTCATGTTGCTGCTTTATATTCTAGATTAGACAGAAATCATTGCTTTTATGCTGCTTTATTTATTTATTTTTGTGGGGTTTGGTAGTTTAGGTTCTTTCTGGTTTGTTTGATTATTGCTGAGGAGAAGTTTGGATATAGGTTGGAGATAAAAACAGAGCTAAAATGCTGTATCTACCTCAGCATTCAGGTAGCATGCCACCAATTTTCAGGCCGGCAGACTGTATGAAAACAAGATCTATGCAATCACTCAGTAACTTTGAAGGTGTTAGCCAGTTTCAGCTGAGTCTGAGAGATAAGAAAGTTTGTACAGATTTCATAAAGATAGATAACCAGGCAGAAGAGAGACAAGGGATTGAATGTTTGGAAGTCAGTGCGTAATAACTTTCTATCCAGTAAGCAAATTTCTAACAAATTCTGTCTGTGAATGTGGCAGCCTGCATGTTATTGTCAGAATACTCTGCAAGAAAAGATGTGAGGTGTATGCAGTTCTTTTGTTATAATTTGGGTAAATAGTCATCTGAGAGGAAATCTATAGGAAATGAAGCTGCATTAGTTTCAGTGCTCAGCCAACTAGTTGCTTTTATTTCTGAAGGTGAAATAAACGGTCAGTCTGAAGTTTCTTCAGATAAACAATGTGACGGGGTTGAAGAAGAAATAAAATTAATTAGTCTCTTGTGCATCTGAGGTCATGCAGACGTGCACTGGGAGCCTCCACACTGGTGAAGTTGACTGCTCTTGATATTGCTAATTCCATCTCTTGCAAGAACTTGACTCACCTGTCATATCTGAGCCACAAAACTCAACTTGAAACCTGACTCATCACTTGGCTTTCTTTATTGATGCACTACTGGAAGTACAAAATGCAGCTGGTTAGTGATCTATGAGAACTAAGAGCACTTGCAGCTGTCCCATAACTCACTTCAAAGGTGATGATCTGAAATTCTCTGTTCCTGTCATTTGATTGTTTCCATTTCATACCCCTCACAGTGCTATTCATGCTGTACACCACTTGCCTATCACACATTTTTATTAATTTTTGTAACTGTGTTTAAGCATGTAGTCCCAATCCAATGGTGGTTAGCACAATCCAATCAGTTTCAGGAGCTGGTAGTATTGGATGCTGTGCAGTGTAAAATGTGTAAAATACCCCTTCTATAACCACAGGTATTTTGTTTCTATCAGTCCAGGCTCAGTTGCACACTTCAGTAACACTTTCAAGTATCTCATCTCACATTTCAGCACTTCTAATGTGTTTGTAATGTGTACATCTTGTTATCAGTAATACCACATACTTCTCATGTTTTTCAAGCTTGTATAGTGGGTGTGAGACTTTACAGGATTTCCTAGTATTGCTTATTCTCAATTTTTATTGCATTAATTTAGTCTATAATAAATAAATGATCTTTAAGGCAACTATTAAGGAGCTAAAGGCACCTAATGAGTGAGTCAGATTTTTCCAGTATTTCGACTTCTTCTTAAATTATCTTTAACATGTACTTTCTACATGAAAATAGCATAAAATGAAGAGGGAAGGAGAGAGGAGAGAAGAAAGGAAGAAAGGGTAGGGGAGGGAGGAGAGGAGAGGGGAAGAGAAAAAGGCAAGGCAAGGCAAGGGAAAAAGCTTTCTGCTTGTATCAAATCCACAGAAGGAAAGGCTAATGGCAGTTCGAAAACGTATTAATACAAAACAATCCATTGTTTAAAGTAACAGACTCAAAGCCTCAACCAGATTTCAACTGTTATGATCTATGGTGGAAGGAGAAACAATGTCTCAATCAACTGTGTAACATGTAACACCTTGACCTGCATTTTGCCTTGTAGATTAGTTTATGTGTCAGACAAAAACTGCTGCAATCAAAGGCATAAAACTGTAATTCAAATTTGCTAGGAAAATATATTTTTACTGAGATATTTAGTCAGACTCAGTAACTCTGAGTAGTCAGAATTCAGTGTGACTTCCCAAAGCCATTTCAAAAGCCTTTTTCTAAGACTTATTCTTCATGTCTCCTGTAGTATAATGATTCAGATCAGTGTGCCTGACTGACATTATTATCTGATACTATTCAAAAGGCAAAGACTGTGTTCTCATTTTCTGTTTGGATAGCTGGAAACTTTGATACTGTTTGATGTGGATCAATATAAACTTGAGGCTGAACCAAAAGTCAATAGCCAGTGAAGCCAGTAGCCAGGCTTACCAAATTCACATCATCTGACATTTGCTGCTGAATATGTTATGTTCATATATGTTCCAAACAAGCCAGGGTTCTGTTCAATTTTGTATTTAGGAACCCACAGAATATCATGGTCATCCGTGCTGCACTGGCAGCTATGACGGGGACCTCAGGAAATCTGAAGACTGGCAAAAGTCTTGGCTGAAGAGGGACAAGGACTGTGACATGGCAGCTCTGCCACTACTTTCAGATGCTTGACCATGTTTGACTGCAGTGGAGGAGTGCAAGCAGCACACAGGCCTCTCCTATACATGAGCTGGCTCAACAGAAGTGAGGACGATTGCTAAACAAGACCTTTTAAACTCCCAGAAATCACCAGGAAGTTCCAAGGATAAAGAAAATAAATGGGGTGACATTGGCTGAAGTCATGATATGTGCAGACCATTTTTTTTCTGAGTGCGCATTTTTGCAGGTGAGTTATTTTCTTTGCCTCTCCTTTTGTAGACACAGAGCCCAACATGAACGATAGTGCCAGCAAGGCTCACACCTGCATTAGCTCTGGACTGATGTTGGAAGCCATGTGCCCATTCCCAGCATCTAGAGCAGCCTGGAGCCATGCCCTGTCCTCATGCTCACCCCATGCTGTCATAATTTCTACTTCCTTATCCTCTACCTTGAAGTCTGCCCTTACGTTTGCCCTTGGACTTTGGTACGTGGCCTCCTTCAGGCCTTCCCTCCCACAGCCCCAGACCTGATCCATTTCTGCCGTTGGCCTGAGGCTCCCAAGCTGGGCGGAGTTGCTCCCTGTCCCTCTGAACGCCTTCATCCCCAGCCGTGCCTCGCTGCACGGCCTCATATCCCTTGGCTGCCCCACACTCCTCGAGCAGCCTCCCTGAGCAGCCATTTTACAGACCAGCTGCAGGCACACAGGGAGAGCAACAACCTCAACTTCATTCCATTCCAATATGCTTTATTTTGTTCTGGTTAAATGCCTGGAAAACATCTCACTGCTCTTGCCCCGAATACACGTGGGTTGTGCAAGATCCTTGTAAAAAGCGATGTGAGTTACAGAACCAAATGGCCGCCCCCGACAGAGGCACCGTGCCTATTTCCTACCGCCTTTATGCCGGCCTGTCACAGCTCTCTTTGCCCTCGGTTCTCCCAGGAGCGCAGTGGGGTAATTTACCTCCGCCACCACCGATCAAACAGGGAAGAGGAAATAACGACAGTGCCCACTATAACAAGAAGCAAGCCCGCCCAGCTCTCCCCATGCCGCACAACGCAGGGCGCCGGGCTCCCGCCGGCTAGCGGCCACCATCCAGGCGCTCCCCGCCCGCAGCGGCACCGCCCCCCGCGCCTGCGCACGGCCCTGATCCGGGGTTAGGGCTGGGGAAGCTGCGTCGCCCTCGGAGCCTCCGGGCCTGTCATTCCCCGGTGCCTGGTGCAGCCTGGCCCGGCCCGCCGAGCAGGTGGGGACGGGGGGAGCAGGAGAGCGGCAGGGTCTGGGGGCGGGAGCCGAGCCGAGAGCGGCCTTGGGTTCTGAGGCCCTGCCGGGGGCAGTTGGAGAGCCGCGGCGGTGCGGTGCGGTGCGGGCAGACCCGCGGCTGCCCCAGGCGCCTCGGCGCTGAGCCACCGTCAGGGCTGTGGGGGAGCGCGGATCTGCGGTGATCGGCCGCCCTGCGGGACCTCGCCGCGTTTGCGAGAGCAGCCGCCTGCGGGGCTTACCGGATGCAAAACGTGGGGGGTGTCGGGAAGGGTCTTGGCCTGTTGGTTAATTTTTGGAAGAGCCAGTCTTGCAGAAGACAGAGAGGTAGATCGCGAAGACTTGGTGAGAGGCAGTTTGGTGCCGTGCATCCCCGGACGTGCCTGCCCGTGCGGAGCATGTTTGTGAGTGCCAAGTCATTGCCGCGCCTCTCCTCGGTGTTTTGGATGTTAGCAATGATTCAGCCACAGCTGATGGACCAACGGAGAATTGCCATGCGTAGGAGCCTTGTTTTGTTGTGAAAAATAAGTAGTTTTCTAACCTCGAGCTTGTGTATTTGTGCGTAAGAAGTAGGAATGGCATCCTAACTCTTTCTTTGGAAGACTACAGTAGTTGAATTAAACTCTAAGATTTCACCAAGCTCTGAAACTAAAAGGGTGTTTCATAAGCGTTGCATATAGCTCAGGATGTGGTTGTTTTGTTTCACGTGTTATTTGGGTTTTGTCGGTGTTGTGTTCTGTGGTGTGTATCAGCTATCTGAAGGGAGAAAACTTAAACAAAACTGCCTTTTTTCAACATTGTTTTTCAATTTGCAAAGCTGTCTCTTGACAAACTCTGAATTCAAGGTAATTCTGCAAAAGTTTAAGGAGACTGGAATATATGCATCAGGAGAGACTGGGTCCGAGCACAGCTGTTACAAAAAGAAAGTACAGTATAGAAGCTGTCAGATACAAAGATAACTCTTTCTCAGAACTGTTGTCTGACATACAAGGGGTAAAAGAACAAGGTGTTCTTAAGTGTTGGTCAGCTGTTGTAACGTTCAGTGCTTGTTATGCGATTAAAGGGTGGTAAAGAGAGCATTTTGGAGGAATGCATTTCAGTTTCTCTTGAAATTGCCAGTGTTGTCATCTGCAAATTGGGATATTAATCTCCTAAATCACTGGTGGTAGAAAAAGGCTATTAAGTTCTAATTATTGAAGTTCATGCGTGCTTGGCATTGAAGGATACATCTGCATTACTATTTTAATTCAAATCGAGGGTGTGAAATGAATTTTCAGCTATCCTTGCTTGCTGCTCTTCAGTTCACATCATGGCGTGATGGGAAAGTTTGTGAGCTGTCTTCCTGTTGAGAGAGACTAAAACTAGATGATGTGCTTCAATTACTAGTGGCTGTTCAGTCTCAGCAAGAGATAGTATGAAATAAAACTCACAAAATGCACAAAATGATGTATAGTGGATGTTGGATCCTCAACAACTGTTTTCACTTCTAGTTTTGTTTTTATTGTTCTGTCTTTGTTTGTTAATGTTGATATAGCCTAGGTGTCCCATCAGTAGAATAGGTAAATTGAATGAGGTTTAAATACAGAAGGACCAGGGACTGATCTAAGCATGCAACAGCTGTCACCTAAGCTGCAAGACTTGAGTTCTGTAGCATAAAGGCTGTAGGTCAGCTACAGAGGTAGTAGGAAGGAAAACTGTGCATGGAATGACTTCAGCCTTTTTTAGGAAACTCTTTTCGATAGCTCACTGGTTTCAATTCTCATTTCACTAATTTCTATTACACTGAATGACTCCCTAACTTAGAATGTTTCAAAATTGCCGTAGCAACAAAAAGATAAGTAGTTTTCTTTCTTGTATGGGTTTTATTATCCTTATAGTAAATAATAAAATATCACGTTTGCTGAAACCTGCTGGCAATAGCTGAATTACATTTCTCCTCCTACATTCACCTAGCTTTTCTGGCAGTACAGTTCATTAATGCTGGGCTTATGTTACAATTGCCATACTTCAGATCTTTTTCTGTCTGGAGTGGTTGGTCTAAAATAGTCTGACTTGCATTGCTCTCTTGATCACCTTTCTTGTGCTTCCTCTCTTGGTGTTCCAGAGTGATAATTATTAGCAAAAATTCCAATTACAGTGGAAAAAACAAAGTTCTGCATACTTGCTTTAAATCCCCCTGTTCTCCAAGACATCATCAGTAAGCTGAGTGCCTAGTGTTTCTGTGGACTAATTAAAAGAGGTTATGGATTAAAGCTGGACAGATGACCGCCATTCCTAGACATATATTTATTTTTTCTCATTGAGTTGTTTCATACCTGTTGCAAATTAGCAGGCAGGCCTCTTCTATCACTTTATTGTGGCTTTTGGTTCCAGCTTTGGTTTCATGGTAATTTCAGTGTGGCTGTAGAGGGATGTTTATGAGAAAATTATGAAATCACATGGGTAACACAAACTGTTCTTGTGATTAGTATTTTAGCAGGCCTTTAAAAATGCTACGTATTGACAGCTTTAATGTGTTTGTTTTTTTTTACCCTTGATTTTTACCGTGAAAAAATCCTCTTTTGTGTTAAAGAAATCATCAGTTTAAGCACCTGATGATCTGTATTTCTATCCCAGAGATTGCTAGCTGATCCTGTGTTCTCAGAACAAGTTTGCCCTAAAGAGCTTATTAGAACTGAATCAGTTGCATGTGCAGGTTCTGCTGAACATTGTGAGGCTGGTTTCTGGAGCATGTTAAGTCCTGAAATTATTTCACTGAGATCAATGTGTCCTGTAGCAGTTTGTCTAGTGCTGCTTGACTGCTGTAACTTGTTGCCAGCAGTTGATTGTTCTGTCTTGGGAGCCTCTTATCCACCCTTGTTTAACCCATGTGTGTTGAGCACCTGAATGGGTCTCCCCTGTAGATCAGATTTTTGGTTTGAGACAGCCTCCAGGTTAACTGGGCCCTAACACTTCGCAAGTCTAAGAATCTAAACACAACAGAAGTAAATAGAAGGCTAATCTGAGAAATGATTATACACTAATAGCTACTTGATACAGAGGAGTAAATTGCAAGCCGTATTTGAATCATTCTCCATGGAAAAACCTTCTTTTGCCTTTTATTTTAGAAATGGGAAAATCTCTTTCTCATCTACCAATACATACGTGTAAGGAAGATGGCTATGATGGAGGTACAGTGTCGGATAATATGAGGAATGGGTTAGTTCACTCAGAATCACACGGTGAGGATGGCAGATGTGGGGATGTGTCACAGTTTCCATACGTGGAATTCACAGGAAGGGATAGTGTCACTTGTCCTACCTGCCAGGGAACGGGAAGAATTCCACGAGGTAAGTTGCCTTCATTTCTTTACTTTTTTTTTAAAGGCATAAATTTACCTCATAGATGTGTGCAGTAGTAACTATAATGAGCAATAGCAAATAACTCTCTAGTAAAGATATTTTGTAGCCATCTTTTCTTTTTAGCACTGAGCATTTTAGTGTTATTACGCTGTGTGAACGAAATGTATATCTAATCAGCATTGACTGCTACCTGCTAGCTCTTTCCTTGTCTATGCAGTGCAGCATGCCTTGCTTCTCTGCTTTAATCCCTAGTTTTTGCAAGTTGAATTTGCTGACATCTTATTTTTTAGACATTTTCATGTATCTTTTTTAAGTAACAATTTTAAACTATTTGAAGAAATACACAACTTTGCAAAAGTAATTGCAAGTATTGAGAACATCTATATGTTAACTAGACATGGGGAGAAGAAGAGTGTAGGCCTGTATAAATTATAGCTGATCTGATATTTTCTTGTGAAAAATCAGAATTAATAAAAATGAGGTTACTTCCTGCAAAACATCCTGCTTTTCCCTTGCTTACCAATTGGCATAAGGACAGCAGGCCAACTGACTGTTTTAGAAGAACAAGTAGTGCTTTTGAAAACAGGTGGGTGTGTGTGCTGGTAAGGGTGCGAAGCCAATAGTTAATAACATTCAGCTCTCCTTAGTAGATCATGCTTTGGTATTGTTATAACTTGGAGAAGAATTATTATTTTTTTTTTAAGTTGTATACTGAAAACCAAATTTCAGAATTATTTCTTTGAAGAATACATTCTAAAACATAATGTGCTTTTCCAGGATTGGCATGCCTGGGATGTCCCTTGTTCTTTTTCTGCGGTAGAAAGTCACTTTCAGTACAGATGTGTTTTTCAACACTTGAGCAACTGGTTCGACAGGTGAATTCTGTGCATGTCAAATATAATCCAGAGTCGTAACTTACTTGAAGACAGAGTTTCAGGTGTTCATTTGGAAGGGCTCTGTCTATAGGGGTTGATAGACAAGATACTGGATTTTTTTTTTTTTTCTAAGAGCATCTGGAAAATTAAAATCTTGGTTTGCTGTGTACCAGAGAGAAATTGAAAGCTTTACCTACAGCATTTTTCCTGGATCATGCATAGCTGTTTTCCTGCCCTCACTGTTTTCAGTGCCCTGCACTTTGCTTCATGTTCCCTTTGTCTCATTTGTCCTTGCTGGGTATGGAAACACATGTGTTCTCTGGCTGTTGCAGGAAGGAGCACACTGCACCTTTGCATTCGTGATTGACAGTTTGCTTTACTTGCTGCCTTCATTGTTCACTTTTCATTGAATAAAACATTTTTGCTTTATTAGAGTTCCTTCCTGTATGGTAATCATCATGTATAGCTATTTAGAAATCGACCTTTTAAGGGAAAATGCAGGGTACATGAAACTGGGAAGGAGAAAGTGGTGAATCTGTGTGCTGAGGCACGGCCTTCTGCCTTTACCAGGGGAAGGAACTGATGGAAGATTTTGTTTTTGTTAGAATTCTTATTTCATATAGTCATAATATTGGTTGTAAAAGCTCACAAAACTGATTTTAACTTGCAGTTTGGGCAAACTGACTGCTGTACAAGGATGATGTGGCACAGATACATGTGCTTCTGTTGGATTAAGTTTTCATATAGTTCACAAATAACTTGCCTCCCTTGGAGGCAAGTGCTGGGGCACAGGATGTTTAAACAGCTAAAGATATCAAAAGGGATTTATGTAGTAGCTGTTAAATGTCATACAACACTGTATTCTTTGAGTACTTCCAAATGCATCAAATAGGAAGTTCAGCGAAGTAATGTGACAAAAAATGTCTTAACTAAGAGACTGAAAAGAAGGAAGTTTGTTTACTTCCTTACTTGAAATATTTAATAATACCAATGGCAATTCTGTACTTATTCTAGTGCAAGGAAAAATTCTGTAATAATGGGATTTCTGTGCTCAGAAGCTTATTTTTTGGCTGGAAGATTTTTGGATACAAAGCGTTTAATTTATTAAACATCTGACTGAATATTATAAATATTTGTTTCTCATAAATTGTAATTGAATAGTTTGAGTAAAACTGAAACTTCAAGTGGGTTATCAAAATAAATAGGACTATCTTTTTAATTATTCTTCAGTACTTTTAAAAAGGAAAATATATTTGTGGGTTTTTTTTTTAAGAAGAGAAATGAGAAATTAAGGATTCTCTGGATCATTGCATGACTGTTACAGAAGACCACAATATGGGCTATGATGATTAAACTGTTTAATACTTGCATGAAATTGCATTTTGGCACTTGGCCAGCTTTAACTTTTCAGTATAAGATTGCTGAGCTGAAAATCTGCATTAAATTGGTGGAGCTGTTTACAAGGTTGATGTTTTATACTAATTTATGCTTAGCAAAGGCTTGGCTTTGTGGTTCAGGTTGAAATCACTTCAGCATGATTGATTAGCTAAGTGATAGTGCTGGTCAAATTCTGTATTTGACTGAAAATGCAGATTAGCGTTCTTATTGAGGCATGTATGTACTGGTGTAGATGAATCTCAATTATATCTTTTTCTATGGCAAATCACAAAACACATAAAGACAGGTGTCATCCATGTGTTTTTTCAGTGGATCCTCTGTGCTTGTGTTCTTGGTTTCTGACTCTCTATAATCTAACATACAGAGCTGAAATCTGTTTGGCACCATTTGCTAGAGAGAAAAGGAAGCACCTGAGCTGTTTTGCCTCCTGTGCACGAGTACAACACAGAGGCAGAATTTGTTGCTGTTTTAGTGTTTGTCAGCCTTGTGTGGTTTTTTTTTTTTTCCTTTTGGTGTTGGTATCCATAGTCTTATTTCAGGAGTTGGCATGGGTACACATGCTATAGCAATGTTTTACTTCAGTCATTAACTGGAATGTAAATGTTTGTCCTAATTCAGTGCTGTAAAGGTGTAAAGGCTACTTTTTATTTGAAGTAATAGCAAAAGTAATGACTCTTCTTGTTTAAATTCTGAAATAGTGTTTTTATTTCTAGGGCAGGAAAACCAGCTGGTAGCATTAATTCCATACAGTGATCAGAGACTAAGGCCAAGAAGAACGTAAGTTAATAGTTGTGATGCATGAATCTACAGTATTCACATTCTCATCCAGCTAAAATTTAATAATTCAAAAGAGATAAGAAGAATCAAGCAAAATCGCTACCTGTGGATTTTTTTTTTGTTTGCTATTGAAAAAACTCTGCTTGTACTATCAACCTTCGCCTCTAGCTCTTGCAGGAGTTATTTATTAATAGGTGTGCACACAACCATCAAACTACATCTTGTAAAGTTGGTAATACTGCACGATGTCTTCGTGTCAGTATTTATCTGAATATCAACAGTTATTTTGCAACTATTTATCACTCTCTGTAGGATATTAATGGATCTAAGCAGATGCTTAGTCTTCGTTATTAAAGTTCACAGAATCACAGAATGGCCAGGGTTGGAAGGAACTTCAAGGATAATAAAACTCCAACCCCCCTGCCACATGCAGGGCCACCAAC